CATCCATCCATCCATCCATCCATCCATCCATCCATCCATCCATCCATCCATCCATCCATCCATCCATCCATCCATCCATCCATCCTCTATCATGTTAGGACGTACTTTTTTTGGGGGAGTTAGCCATCACAGAATATTCAGAAATGTGTTTTATTTGGGGATTCTCTTTCTCATTAAGATGTCTACGATCTTAAAATATGGCTGATGTGAGTTCTTTAAATGCTGAAAAGCACATGTGATCATAAGGACAAAAGAAACACCTGCTCCTCACTATCGTCAAATGTCATTTATTTAAGCTATTGAGAGTGAAGACGTATTCATCTGCTAGAAGTTCAGCTTTTAAAAAAACAATTTGGAAAATGGTAATTGGGAAGGAATGTGGCATTGACCACTTTGTACATGGGGTGCAGCCACAGTGTGCTCTTCACGTGAGGAGTTCTGGTTTGCCGGTCCCTCTGCCATGTCCATACAGGTGTTATTTACACTTTTATGTGAACATGCAATATGCCTGGGTGATGGCTGGCTCGAGGAAGAAGCCACACTGACGCCTGTGCAGATGCTTCAAAGCTGGGCTTCTGTGAGCTGAGCAGACAGCCACTACTCCAGGGGAGGGTCCTGCTGTCCTGCATCCTGCTTCCTGCGTGCTGATTGTTCTGCTCTAGTCTTCACAGGTAAATGCAGTGCTGTGTTTTGTAGGAAGCTACTTCTTAAAAATAAGAAAGGGGAGTTTTGCAGCATTTTCTGAGGTGGAGCTAAAAGAGCACCCTGCTGCAGCATTTTCCACATCGTATATTTTTTTCTTAGCCGTGAAATTCCAGCAGATTGTTATGCAAAACAGTTTTGTGTCTCTGTGTGATGGGGAGACAGCTGTTAGTCCTAATGAGGAGTGCTATCGCTACAGTCTTTCGCTGATTGAGACCCACGGAGGGATCGGAATGTTCCAGATCAGGCAGTGGTGTGCGGTGAGGAGGTACCACGCTGTCAGCTGGAAGCACATGCTCGACTGCTCTTTGCGACAAGATAAATGAGTTGGCTGGAGTTTGCAGCGTCTGAGCTTTTCCAGTGAGTGGTTGTGGCACTTGGCTTCCCACGGGACCTAGGTCTGAGGGTGCCTTTAAAACGACCGCCTCCTTGCCAGTCTCCCTTTGATGCCCCACAATACCTGTCAGGATTGTGATTTATTAAAAACCAAATGTCTTTCAGCATTTCATTAACATAGGGTTAGCGGTCTTTTGTGGAGGCTTTTTGCATTAATTTAGCAGAATGTTAACTGAAAATTTAACTTGGCAAAATCCCCCTGAAGAACGTAGTGTAGAGACAAATCACAGCCTATGTGTACTTGTGCCAAATCTCTGCCAGGAGTAGCTGTTCCAGCCCTACGTGACCTCTGGCTTTCAGGAATGCAACATCCCATTTCTAGTGAAACACTTGCCTTGTTTTTTATTTTCCAGAGGGAATTCCAAGTGTGCCATTGAGTCAGTGTCCAAGATTGCTTTGTCTTTCCTTCCTTCTTTGGTCCCAAACAGCCTCCTGCAGGAGTTTCTTCTCTGTGTCCTTTCTGGTATAGTCTGGTGGCTGCCATTGGACCATTTCTTTCTTTCTTTTTTTTTTTTTTAAAGATTTCTTTATTTATGCATACAGAACTGGGGTACAGGCCAGAGGTGTAGGGGTGTTGAGGGGCTTCACCAGAGTTAAGAATGGGGAGCAGAACAGGCAGATCAACAGAGCACACTGCTGAGGGGAGCAGTGGGTATGTCAGGAGAGGTCTGGTTACCTCCCGGGGTGGGAATCGAACTTTTGCTGAAGTGGCTTTCGCTTCTTAGTGTTGTGCTTTGACCTGCTGTAACACCAGGGAGGGCTCACTGGACCATTTCTGAGGGGATGGGACAGAGACAGGGAGGTTGCACACCCCCATGTGCACAGAGTGGGCCTCCAAATGACAGTGGTGCTCAAGTTGAGATTACTCTGGTTTGTACTTAGTGGAGATTCGAGTGTTGTATATTTTCTGGTGGAGCAATTGTACATCTGAGGGTTGGGTTGGACTTGGATTTTCTGAACCTCTGGAGTTTATTTCTTGTATTAGGCTCTAAGTGAAATAAAGGTAGTTTGAAATTATTTTGTTTAATAATAATATGTTAACTATGTTTGATTTATTTGCTGTTAACTTTCATAGTTTTAAAAAATAATAGCTCTTAACTATCCTGGGAAGTTGTTATTTAGGGTCACATTTTCTAAGGAATATATGAGACTTTCTTTACTCTTTTTTTCCTTGTTATTTAGTAAATTATTTTTCCTGCTTTCTTGAGGTATAATTGACATAAAAATGAATATATTTTAGATGTATAATGTGATGACTTGATGTATATGTTATGAAATGATCACTGCAATCAAGCTAATTTTAACATCTGCCACCTTACATAATTACTCTGTGTGTGTAGTGAAAAAACTTCTTGGCAAATTTCAAGTATGACGAGCAGTATAGTTAATTATAGTTACTATGTTGTACTTTAGATCCCAGGACTTTCCTAATCTTTATACCTTTATTTATTATCTCTTCATTGTTCTCATAACCCCAAGACTCTGGTAACCACCATTCTACTTTAAATTGTGGGTACTATTTTAGAAGTGAGGTCATATAGCATTATTCTGACTTACATCACTTAGCATGATGGTAAGTGCAGCCTGTGATAAGGCTTGATTTCCTTCATTTTCATGGCTGAGTAATATTCCCTTGTCTATATACCGTATTTTCTATAGCCATTCATCCATCCACAGGCATTTCATTTATTCCCATACTTGGCTGTTGTTAATAGTGCAGTTGTTTAAGCAAGAGGAACAATTATAGGGTAGAAGAAATTTCATTGCTATGTCTCTGATGCCCTACCTTACTGCCAGAATCTGTCACTGAGACCATGCCTTTACTATGCAATGTGGACAGAACTTTTTTCTGTAGCCTGAACTTATTGATAAGATTCTCACCCTTTGTCCTTTATTTTTAGTACTGTGACCTCTGCCGTCTTTACCGTTGGAGATAATGTTGTTTCAGGCAGTGATGATCGCACTGTGAAGGTCTGGGATTTAAAGAATATGAGGTCCCCCATTGCAACTATTCGTACAGACTCTGCCATCAACAGGTAAGGAAACTAAACTGCCTGTCACAAGATTTGACTTGAAAGGACTGACTGTTATATAATGTCTTGCTATAAATTTAGGGTTTAACCTATGGTACCTTGGGAAAATGGTTTCGACTTTTAGGAAAATAACTTTTATTAGTTTCAAATACTGAAGTATAAGTATAAAATCAGGTGTCATAAGTCTTGTAAGGTTAAGAATGAGCCACTTGAGGACAAACTTGATAGTACTTTTGTTTTAATTTCCATGTAGTACTATTTACTATTTACGTGCCATATAAGTGACTTAGTCTCTATTCTTAGATAGAATGCTACCTTGAATTTGCAATGGTTTTGCCTTAAAATGTGAACAGTATGACATTTTCTACTGCATGACAATTTGTAAGCTCAAAAAATTAGGCTGTCATTGTTTTATAGCCCAGTTTTTTTCTGCTTTGCAGGATCAATGTATGTGTGGGCCAGAAAATCATTGCCCTTCCACATGACAACCGACAAGTGAGATTGTTTGATATGTCAGGCGTGAGGCTAGCGCGGCTTCCCCGCAGTAGTCGACAGGTAATTGTGCTGTTGACATATGTATTCATCACAAAGAACTTAGAAGAACTTGGCTTGTACATGCTAGATCATCACAGTCAAACAGAAATACAACTTGACCCCTCTCCATATTTTATGTTTTCTAACATCCACTTTTAAGAAATTAAGTTTTTGCAATCTGTTTTATTTAACCAAATAATATCTGTAATATAATTTCAACAGGTAATCATTATAAAATGTTAGCGAGTATACATTCTTATTTACTAAGTCTTTGAATGCTAGAATTTTATTGGACATACTTGATCTGTGTTTGTAGTTCATAAAACCTAACATTGAAAATATTTCCCAGTAGCTGAATGGAGCATGAGTTTTAAGTTTAAACTTAAGTAAAATTAAATGTTCAACTCATCAGTTTCACAGCCACATTTTCAGAGCTCCTTTGTGAATATGTTAGTGGCTACCCTCTTGGAAAGCACAGTCTTTGATATTTGCAATTGGATTTATGCAATCTGGAAACATATTAAATGATAAGAATTTAATGTAGTCAAACAGGAGCAGTGGTGGTGCTTTTGGAAGCACTTTATAAAAGAATCCCAGCTGGGCCTCCCTTGTAGCATAAGGGGATAATTCTCACCACTCTGAAGGTATGGCCAGCCACTGCGGCATGAGTTCAGTCTGCAGCCAGGGAGCTAACCCAAACAGCCCAGCAGACTTTTCCTGTCTCAACTGCTATTCCCCTCACAGTGTTATTTCAGTTGGTCTGCCTGTTCTGCTCCCTACTGTGTCTTTGGTGAATCCTCTCACTGTCTTGCATTTCTGGCCTATACCCAGAATGCATAAATAACTAAAATTAAGTGTTTTTTGTTTTTTTTTAAAGAATTCAATTTAAAAAAACAAAAAAAGGAAGAATGAACCCCAACTTGCATCCTTGGCCAGAAAACCACTTTCCTAGGCTTGTCACCAGGACAAGATGACACTCATCTTAATGCAGATTTTCTTATTCAGCCTAGATGATATGCTGGGTCAAGGCCTAGCTAGGAATTTTGACAGAACCTAGTTGGGTGTGGTGTTTGGGCTGCCTTCCCTTCTCTTGGAATTTGTGATAAGAACTGAGGTACCAGGTCAGACCTACTAGATCAGAATTTTTGGGAGCATCAGGAATGGCAGTTAAATCAGTTCCTGAGAGTGACTTAAAGTCTGAGGGTCTGAGTCTCTGCACAGGTGGCTCAGTCCCCTCTCCCTTGTATGGAGGGAGCTGTGATCTCTGCAATGCCACTGCTTGTCAGGGCAGCCCCTTTTGGGCATTTGTGCTCACTGAGCCCTCTGTATGGTTGCCGTTGACTTTGCTTGCTTTGGCTTCTTCTGCATGTGCCTTGACTGCGGTGTGGTGGAGAAGCCAAAATTCCCTCTACTTGTCACCAGTGTGTCTCCACGTGACAGTGTTCTCCACTCCTGCTGCCTGACTGCCTTTTGCTATAGGTCTTTGGGGTGAAGGGCTTTATAGTACAGCTCTCAAGTTGCAGCTGGCTCTTTGGTAGGTGTGACTGCAGAAGCTATCTACCTTAAGCCGGGCGGTTTGGAGATGGATTGTATGGGAGGATCTGCTCCCAACTTAGCTTTACCTTTTTCTTAAAATGACCAGTTTTCGGCCCTCCCTGGTGGCGCAGTGGGTTAAAGCACTGCACTGAGAAGCTAAAGCCACTTCCGCATGAGTTCAAATCCCGCCTGCCCCGGAGGTGACCACAAGGCGGGGCAGACCTCCCCCGACCCCCCCGCCTCTCCCCTCAGCAGTGTACTTCGTCAATCTGCCTGTTCTGCTCCCCACTCTGTCTCTGGTGAAGCCTCTCACCACCCCTGAGCCTCTGGCCTGTACCCCAGTTCTGTATGTACAAATAAATAAATCTTTAAAAAAAAAAATGACCAGTTTTCTAAGAATTCTCAGCCCCTGAGGTGAGGCTGCATCTGCCACTCTGGCCCTTCATGGCTATTTCATGTGTTGTTTCACTTTATGTACTGAGCTTTTTATTCTTTGAGCATGCATTGTAGAAAACTCTTAAAATTAGAGTAGCTAAAAAGGGCAACCTAATAAATTGCTTGTCCAGGGGAAATTTTCTTGTTTTGGTAACTGCTGAATATCATTGATATAATATTTAAGCTGCTTCTCTAACATAGTTCCTTTGAATGTGTTTATATGAGTTAAATAAAATTGCTATACATAATGAAATTCTGTATTTTGAAATAGAAATGTTATGTGTATGCATATAAGATTTCTTTGAGAATATTTTCCTTTAAAATAATAAGGTCTGAGCTATTCTTGGTGGTACTGATATTTTTAATTATCTGTAAACTTTATCCTTGTTGAAGTTGTAGAACTCTACTGTGCTTAAATTTATTCCCTCCTAAAGTGAGTGGTATTAAAGAGTAACACTTGACTTCAATTTAAACATTTAACATTCCTTCAGATAAAGAAACAAGGTTTTCAGGTACTGACACTCAGAAATCCTTGGGTTAAGTGTCCCAGCTTCTTTCGACTCACATTTTAAAAAGAGAAAACAATAATATCACTTACTTGAACTTGCTAGAATTAAACTTACTTGAATTCTTGCTAGCTAGAATTAATGGTCTTATGATGTGATAGTTTAAAAGTGTTTTTCTTTGGGAAAGTTTAAATGACATTTCCCAAAGTGTGTATCAAACAAAACAAACTTTGAATGTTAAGAGGAATTACAGGAAAGAAGGTTCTATGGTACAGTACCTTTGTAAAATGTAGGCTTACAAAAAGCAAGTAGGGCCTTTTTATTTTTAAAGATTGATTTGTTTAAGATTAATTTGTTTATGCATACAAGAACTGGGGTACAGGCCAGAGGTGTGGGGGGGTGAGAAGATTCACCAGAGACAGAGCAGAGAGCAGAACAGGCAGATTGATTAAAATACACTGCTGAGGGGAGCAGTGGATGGGTCAGGAGAGGTCTGCTGTGCCCTCTGGGTCACCTCCCTGGCCAGGGATCGAACTCGTGCTGCATGGCTGTGGATAGCTTTATAGTGCTGTGCTTTAAACCGTTGCACCACCAGGGAGGGCCTGGGCCTTTATTTTAAGAGGGCTTTTAATCTTCTTGACTCCCAAGAGTGTGTGGAGCCTTCTGGGTAGGTGATCCCCTGTCCTGTGGGACTCTGCATGAGCTTTCCCTATGGGCGTCTCCTGTTGTCATGACTCATCTCCTTACTGGGACCCCCGTTCTGTGGCTGCCATGGTCTTTCCCTTAACCAGTTGCTAAGTACCTGGCTATACTGTTTTTATAGTGAGGGCCTTGAGCTTACCATCTTTGATTAATTCTTGTTCAGAGACTTGATTTTATTCCAGTTAATAGATGTATTGTTAATTTTTAAAGTTATTAAAAAGAAATGGTACGCGAGCTTTTGTGACCTTCTTTATGTGGCTTCCTTTCGTATGACCTGTTTTCTTCCCCCCTTAAATGTGTAGATAGTGTTGTTGGGAATGTGTTGCAGAAGGGAATTTTCTGTCATTCTTTTGTATGTTTCATTTACTTAGTTTGTCAACTTTCCTCAAATGTGTTTATTTTGTGTAAACACAGTGATGACAGTGTATTCATGCTTTCATATTAGCTTACGTCTCTACCTGTACACCAAGTGTGTCTTACTATAAACTTCACAGATATTTAGAAGCATGTTTTCCTAACATTCTGATATTTAATTGGAATTCCTGAAGATGACAGGAATCTACTTGAAAGGTCATTTATCTTACCCTTGTTTTATTTGGCACCAAATGTATTTTTCTAATTCCTTTATTACCTGAACCAATTATTTGTTAAAATGGCATTTGAGATCTTTGAGTGAGTTTCATTTAACTTGCTCCCAAATATCATCTAGCCTCATTTATTCACTTAAAAATTTCCATTGATCATTAATTTTTGTCTGCGGATCTTCCTCATTTTCTTTTAAAAATTATATTTCCAAGAGGCACTAAGGATTCATGTCACAGGTTTATTTACAAACTAAACTCGGAATGCTAAGTTCAAGAGTAGCTTTTCAAAGAAATTACGCTTCTTAAAATGCTCCTCTTTAAGTGTCTCTTGGTCAAACAAAATCATCCTTGTTTCTTAAGCAGTTGCTGTCTTACTATGAAGAAAAGGTGCAACAGATCCAGAACCAAAGCACACAGTTACCATAATAACTTTCATTTGTTTTCCACTGAAAATGACAAATTCTTCTCTGGGCTCTCCTGTAAGGGCTTCTCCAGGCCACAGAGGCAGTGAACCTCCCTGCCCCTAAATAGCGCAGGTGGAGGCTCTGCGCTAAAGATGGAGAGACTGGGTGGGAGAAACGGCAGCACCTCAGCAAGTTCTCCTTTCTCCTGAGCTTGCACCTTTTTGTGCTAGCTCATTTTGTTAAAAGAATCATTAAGTGCTTTGCTGTGTCTCCTTTAATTCATCACTTGTTCTCACTCATTCATTTTATTGCGGCTTTTCTACTAGCACATCATCAAACCCTGATTCCATGCTTACTATTTGTGACTCACTTTGACTAATTTCTTGTGTTAATTTTTTTTTTCTTTTAGTTCAGTGTCTTTGAGTGGTACAGTTGTTAATTTGGCTGAAGTTTTGTAGCTCTCATGCTTCAGGGATAATGCACTAATTCTGTTTATGTGATTGGTAATAGGGCCACAGAAGAATGGTGTGCTGCTCGGCCTGGAGTGAAGACCACCCCATGTGCAATCTGTTCACCTGTGGGTTTGACAGGCAAGCCATTGGCTGGAACATCAACATTCCTGCATTGTTACAAGAAAAATGAGGTCGCCAGCATTCCTTAGTTTTATAGTTTGCTATAGACCTTGTGACTGGTGCCGGCTTTTCTCATACTGATCAGCCATTTTTTGTGTGCTTTTACCCTCAGAAGGGTGATTTGTGTATGTTCTTTTCACATTGTACCAAGCTTGCATGAATGTACAGAAAATGTGTGGTCATGTTTTTTATTTTTCTCTTGTATATGTTGGCATCCTCTGGTCAGTAGAAATGAAGCCCCTCTCCCTACATAGCACCTTGCGTGTTTTAAGTTACTGGCATTTGACAGATGACAGGAGGGCATTACATTTGTGTGAGTTAAATGTGAACCTGTGTACTTAGTCTGTTGCATTTCTGGAATAATACATACCTACCTTGTACTGGGCAGGTTGCAGAGCTGTGTTTGTGTAGGCTTGATAAATGGCAGGAAAGAGCAAAAATTTTATGTTTACTTCTCTATGAGGTTTCAGCATGTGCTATCATGAATCCAGCTTCAACTATACATTCTATTTCAGTTCAGTATAATTAGCTGGGTTTTAGAAGACAAGAAAATAGCATAGAATGTTGAACTATAACATTGGGGAATTTCTTGTGAAAAGAAAAAGGTTCTGCTCTTTTATAGAAAATCATTTCAATCTCCTGAAATTTCATGAGCAAATTCTAAAATAGAATGATTCTAATCACTGATTTCAGATATTAAGCAAAATTTAAAGCACTTTAGTTTATAGTTAGGGTTATAAACAGTTTTTAGAAGTTTCAAATGACTTATCCATTGAATGTGACTTGACCTTTTTAAGAAGGCCCTGCTACCTGAAAACAAAACCTTATTTATTTTCTACACCCTTTGGTTTGCATATTTCTAAATGGGTTCACTTCGTTGGTGGTATGTGAGAGCCAACAATGCAAATAAATGAGTACTACCTCAAAAATAAATGCATTTGGAAAACTTGGGAGTCTCACTGTTGCCTAGCTAAAGCACTTTTGACTGATAGCTGGAATACTGAATTCAATTCAGGAGGCAAGAAAGACAATCATGGCAAACCTGTCCTGAAAATAAAAGGTTCTTTGGTTAGGTTGACAAGGGGCTAGCCAAAACAATGGCTTGCAGGTAACAAGATGCTTTTGTCTCAGCAGCCAGGACACCTCTCAGTGCCAATCCTCCCACTGCCAGAGTGAGCCTGTCACTCTTGCCTTCTTAGGAGTTTCTGTCATCTGGTATTTGTAAGTTCATGTTTCTTAGTAAGTTACAGTTTTGATAGACATCTCAGTATACTTCCTCCCCATATTTTTAATCTTTTGACTATGTTCGCTTGGAGACTGACCGTGTAGAAAAAATGGTCCTGGGTGACCCCTGTTCTCTGTTTCCTGTTAGTGCTGGCAGGAGGACTGGCTGGCACCTGCTAGAGTGCCTTTGGTGTGTGGTATGTGAGTAGAGTGGGAAGGATGTCCTTGTCTGCACTGACCCAAGAGTGGACACATCTCATAGTGGCCCTGTGTGCAAGTTCTGCAGTAGCTAATCTTAGGAACTTAAGTTATGTGCCATTGGAATAATGCCATTTTGAAATGATTCATACAGGCCTTTTTGGGAGGGAGGGGCCAGGAAAATCCATTAATGATGTAATAGGAATTGTAGTTGCTGCTAAAGAACAAATAGCAAATTTCTTAGAGCAACTTTAATTTTAAAACTCAAGAGCTTGTGTTTTAAGCGCATATTTCTCCTGGCCCCACTGACAAAGAAGTTAGGCACTGGGTGTGCCCCGAGTAGTGCGCACAGTGTCTGATTGTCGTGGCGCTACACCCCAAAGATATAGGCACCATGGCTTCTGAAGGATAAGTTGCACAGCCACACTTGGGTTCCTTTTTGTGTTTCAATTTGAATGTCTGGGTGTCTTAGAATCATTGTTAGAAGCATTACAAATTGTATACAACTATCTAAATCAAACGTAAAGCACCAGATGTCTGCCAGATAAAAATTTGAAGTTTAAAAAATGTGTATTTGTGATAGCCATTTAGTTTTGTACAGATGAACATGCTTTATGGCCAGCAGCTACCCACCTTCCCTCACTGATTGGGGGAAGCGACATTCTTACTGTCTCTATTTGGTGGTAGACTTCATGGTGCTCGAACAAGTTCTCAGGAGCAGGATATGATACTGCCGATGGACACCACATGGTCCCCTGACGTGATTCCATCTAGCTGCTCTGTGCCTTGTGCTGGTGTTCTCAGGAGTCATGAAGGAGATTGGGGCTAGTGAGTGCATGTATATGCGAGTCTGTGTGTGTGTTCTAGTGTGTAGCTGAAATTGAGTCATGTGATCAGTCACATGTGATTTCATCTGAAATAGTGCTTGAAAATGGAAACAGTTTTGTTAAATGCTGATGTGTCCAGAATTTCATTTAATAATGGAAGGAAAATATGTGGTCACTAAAAATGTGTGTTGATAGAGAATGCATAAGAGATGTGTTGATGGACAAAGCAACACTTTCTCAACCACTGCACATTCATTTCTGTAGAGTCCAAAATTCTTGTACATAGTTTGGAATTTTGAAGAATCCTGTGTAAATCATTTGTTACTTAAATCTGTGAAAAATGTTTTTCTTTGGGGGGAATGTATGTATTTGTAAGTGTTACGTGGAAGCAAGTGTTTTTATTGTATTGATGTAATTGTTTTTAAGTGTTTGATGTCTTTATTGCAATATGATATTCATTAAAAACCATGTTCTGTAATTATTATTGTAATTATGTTTTATGTATTAGGAATCTTTTTATTTTTTAGCTTTTTCACATTTTGCTTTTATGAAGCATTGTTATTGGCTATTAAACATAAAAGTGATGTAGAAGTTGAGTAAATAGTATTGTCACTTGAGAAATTTTAATTTTAGACTTAACAGATCAGTTGTATCTCCTGTTAGGCTAAAGCTAAATGACACATACTTTTGCTTCTTCATTTCTGTCACCACCCCAAAAATTTCTGAGGATGTTAATTATTTGACATAATATAGGCATTTGTCAAAGTTTCTCCATTTCATATAATGCTATTCCTATTGTGATAGTTAAACTTTTTTGAAATTAAAAAAAATGCCAGTAACAGAAAGCAGACCCCATTCTCTGTGGGAGAATGCAAATCAGGATTGGAAGTTGGCCACTTACTCATTGTACTTTTCTCTCCCAAGTAAGTGAAACTGTGATTGTTGTAGGACTTGCATTAGGAGGTGCTCAAACACTACCTGGGCTTTGCTGCCTGTCAGTGATTAACTGTTTAAACTAGTCTAGCTTACCGTTTACATTGTGTAGGCACAGGGTACATTCAGTTCCCAAAGGGCAGAAATTTCCCACTGATTAACTTCTCTTACTTTATTCCTCAAAAAACACGATTGTCTAAACTTCATAATTAAATCTTCATTTACATTCAAAACTTTACCTTATGAAAAATTAAGGATTCAAGGGTTTCATAATTATGATTTCTTCAAAATGCTATTAAGATAATGGCTACCTATTCATAGATTTTCTTTTTCCTTTAATTTAGAAGTGAAAAACATTCCAAAATTGGGAACACCTGTATTGTTATAGGCAGTCATAACATGTTAATATATGGTAGGAGGAAAGTACAAATGAAATCAGAAAAATATTATGTAATCAAAAATTAATTTTATTAAAATATCTAAGCAACTTTTGGTAGAAATGTATATAGCTAAAGCAGATCTTTAGAGCTCTAAGAGCTCTGTAATGGACATGTGCTGCTGTTTTTGACTTAGGTGTCATAGAGGACAGGAAAGGAACTACTTTACACAAGTTGGTCAAGGAGGCTTCTCTACAGAGTAGAGATTTACTCACATGAGAGGACTGACATAAGATATCAGAGCATAAAGCACAAAGGTTAGGTGACAAAATGCCTGGAAGAGGGAAGAGGAGGAAAGGAGAAGAGAAAGATTTGCTTTGAGTCTAGCAAATCTTTGTAATAAATGAAAAGGTGGGTTACTGGCACAGGGGTGGAAAAGTTGATGTATCAAAATACATTCATGCATATATGAAATATTTCAGCTCATATACTCTCACAACAGCTTATCTGTGGAAAGGAAGTAGCCTATTAATGATTTTAGTGCTACTGGTTATTCATATTCAAAATGAATTGGGTCTCTTTCCCATGCAAAGCAAAATCAATTCCAGTATTGTATATTAAGGGAAAAACATTGACATTAAAATAGATATTTTTATGGCTTTGTTTTCATTAAACAACTACCCCAAAATACTTAGAAAAGATTGATATATTCAGCCAGGACACTTAGAAGAGTGAAATAATAAACTACAAATTTTAGTTGCAGCATGTATAATCCACAGAGGACCATTATCCAGGATAATAAAAACAAAATTCTACATGTCTGTAGGGTATTCAAAAATTGGGCAGCAGACATGAATAGATGTCTCACAAAAGAGAAAACTTGAATAACCAATAAATCAGGAAATGAAAGTTAAGACCAAAATGGAATATTTCACAAACGTTGGACTGGGAAAAAATAGTCTATAGACTTTTGAAACTTTTCTTTGGAACTGTTGGTTTAGATAGAAGATAATATAGCAAATTGGAAAGCACAATCTTCCAAGTCTGGCTGATTCTACTCTAGCAATTTCAGGTGTGTTTTTGAACAAAGTTTATTTAAAATGTGATGTCTAGAGACTTGCATGTTTTAAAATGAAGATTCTGAACTCCAGTCCTAGAATTACTGGCTCAGAATTCCTATCTTGGGATAGGATTTGAGAATCTGCGTGTGTTTCTGTTGAGTTTGGGATCTGTGGTCCTGAAGTACCTTTGCATACCATACACTCACATGCAAGTTTATAACACTCAACTAGAAACAGCCCAAGCACACGTTGACAGAGATGGGTCAACAATGAGAGATGCAGTATGTCTACACAATGAAATACGCATAAAAGTAAACTACCAGTAACACACAGCTACAAACAGTTGTTATTTGGAACACAGTGTTGATTGAAAAAGCCATTCAAACTATGCACAACATGAAACTCTTTGTGCAGCACAAGTGATACCAATCAGATAGACAAAATTATGATCAATTCTGGGAAATAGGAATGAAGAAGCCAGATTACAACATGGTATTCCTGGGGAAGGAGTGAAGGGTGAAGGGGGAGGTAGAGAAAGCCCAGAATTGGCAATATCCAGTTCTTTCTTTGGATGGTGGGTACACCAATCTTCCAATTTTCATACATTATAATGCAAATATCATTACAAATGTTCCTCTGATGTATCTAACATTATATAGTTGAGTCATAAAAAAAATCTAAAGTTATCCCAAAGAGAAAGTGAATGCTAATAAAATGAGGAAATTTATAGTATTACTTTTGACAGCATCAATTTCAAGTTATTGCATAAGAATATTTCACTTCAGATATTACTTCTTTTCCCACTTATAAACACTTAGTTTTATTATCCTGAAATGTCTTATTTTCAGTCAGTATGTACATCCATAGGAGGCAATGAAAAGTCAATTTTGTTCCAAGATAATGTTCTTGAAAAAATAGTCACTGAGGAAATTGTGAAAAGGCATTGTGTTATACTGTGTCAAAATTGGGTTGTTTTCAAATACAGTTTGGAAATCCAAGCTTTAAAGTGAGAAATGCAATAAGGTTTTCATTTACCAGGTGTGATCATAAAATAATAAATGTAGTTTTCTTATGTGTTTATAAACTGGGACTGAAAATAATTTCAAATCCAAGAGATGGTCCAAAAATTGTGTTGAACAATTATCACATCAGAATATGAATTTTTATCCTTATTCTGTATTTGGGGGCAAACAGCATTTATTTGGCTGATAGGTAAGTTCTTGTATATTTGCTAAAAATATAATTTTCTATAATGCCATAATACATATGCATTACTTATGTTTTCTAGGTCTCAATGATTCTCAATAAATAGTATAAAGATGGTCTGCTGGTAAACTTTTCAGTGATAAAATTGTGCTTATTCTGTAACCTATCCCTCTCAAGTGTTATATGAAGCTAATACAATTTTTTGTTTGTTTTTTTAAAAACAGCTTTATTGTGGTAGGTATAATTGATAAAATACACCAAATATGTGAAGTGTACAGTTTGATAAAATTTTCACATAATCATCCACAAAATCACCTGCACAATGAAAGTAAAGTAGTTATCAATCACCCAAATGTGCCTCATTGATTTCCTACCTGATGCCCCTTCTGATACTCCATCTTCAGGAAAACCACTGATCTCTTCATGTCTCTAAGGAATAATTTACACTTACATAATTTATACATAAAAGCAGTTACGCAGTTTGTGCTTAATTTTGCCTTCCACTTAAAAAATTGTTCTAAGACTATTCATGTTATATGTGTCAGTTCATTCCTTTTAATGCTGTGTGGTATTTCATAGTATGGACATGTCACATTTGTTACCCATTTACTAGTCGATGGAGATTAAGGTTGCCTCCAGTTTTTCCTATTACAAATGAGCTTGGTATAGACATCTGTATCTAAATCTTTGTACTCACAGGTACTTTCACTTCTTTTGGGTAAATAGGAATGAAATGGCTGGATTATATGGTTGATATGCTTTTAACGTTTTAAGAAATGTTCCATGTGGTTGAAAACTTCTGGTTTTTGCTTGGACATGAAAGAGATTACAAGTTGTCTCTCCTTCTTAACAAGAAAAAAAGGTGAAAAAATTGAAATCAGTGACATTTCTTAGGTCTTTTAGAGAATTAGGATCCCAAAACAAACTGTTGCCCTGGAACTTAGAGAGACAGATGGGTGGGACCAAAGAATCACAGTCTTCCTCTTTGAAGAGGAAACTGCTGGAATATAAAGTAGTAGGATATTCAGATGTCACTTTGAATACTTGCTGACAGTTACTTGTATGTTGGATTGAGTTAAAAATTAGAGACCCAAACCAAGAGGCCAGTGTACTTACATGTGTTTCCTTCCAGATAAACCACCATGGTCCCATCATGAAGATCAGAGTGAAGTTCCCTCATATTTGGTTGCAGTTGAGTACAAATAGCCACTTTGAATTAAGGCCAGAGCTATCTTCACCACAAATGCCTCTTGACCAAAGGAAAAGCTTTATGAGTGTCATGTCTGACTTGGGAAAGGGACTTACTGAGATCCATCACCCTCTAGTGTTTTTACTTTACCTAAGGGGAAATTAATATGCTGAGAATCATGTGTGAAGGTCACATCTCAGGAGCACATCTCATTGAAAAACTGAAGATCTTTTCAGGACTAAGAACACTTCCTGTCCCTACACGGATCACCATATTGGCTGGGCTTCTATAAAATAACAGCACATGGCAACTGAAAGACTTACAAGATTCACATTGTTTAAAGAGTTCCTGGGAACACCCAAGAAAATGGGACAAAACCCATGATACTAGAGGGAACTGAAGCTTTTGCACCACAGCTAGAGCAGCATTGAGCATAACATCATCCTAGCCACAGAAATAAAAGCACATTGAGGCCAATCAGCCTTAGTTCTTAACCTCTTATGCATTCAAAAAATTACAAGGCACGCTAAAAGACAAGGGGGAAAAAAAGGAAACAATCTGAAGAGACAAAACAAGCAGACTAGACTCACAGTTGTTGAGATTATAGTGCTACAATTTTGAAAAAAACATTATTATTCTAAGAGTTCTAATGGGAAATGTAGACAATATCCAAGAACTGAATGGTAAGCAGAGAGATGGAAACTTG